CCGCCTCAGCCTTCCAAGCAGCTGGAACTACAGGTGTGCGCTACCACACCTGGCTAATTTTTTTTTTGATTTATTGTAGAGATGAGGTCTCGCCAAGTTGCCCAGGTGGGTCTCGAACCCGCAGGCTCAGGCAATCACTCACCTCAGCCTCCCAAAGGCGCAGGATTACCGGCTGAGCCACCAAGCCTGGCTTTTTGTTTCTTTTAAGTGATGGAAAAGAAAAATAGAGGGGAAATGCAGAGAACACTATTGTTTGTTTCTCATCACATGTCTTATCACATGTCCATCTGGTCCGTTTTTTCCTACCCAATACCCTGCCCCAAGCAGACAAACCCACCCACTGCCTTTGCGACTTTATCAAAGGGAGCATGTTGTTATCAGTCTTTGTAGCCCCTGTGACTAATGCAGGATTTGCATGTTAGTAGGTGCTCAGTGTTTAAATTAAATCACCTTGATGTTTAAAAGAAATCTTTCAATGCTACCAAGCAGTTCTAATTTTTAGTACTTTGACTTAGATATGAGTTAAGAGTGCTTATTCAGCTCTGGGGATTTCTTTCTTTCTCTTTTGTTTTTTTTGAGTTGGAGTCTCACTCTGTCACTCCCAGCCACCGCAGCCTTGACCTGCTGGGCTCCGGCGATCCTTCCACCTCAGGCTTCCAAGTTGCTGGAACTACAGGCGCGCACTATCACACCCAGCTAATTTTTGGTTTATTGTAGAGATGAGGTCTCCCCAAGGTACCCAGGCGGGTCTCGAACCCGCGGGCTCAGGCAATCCATTCACCTCAGCCTCCCAAGGCGTGGGATTACAGACTGAGCCACTGAGCCTAGCTTGGGGATGTCTTTCGAGTTAAAGTGTAAGTCTACTCTTCTGGCCTTCGTCAATTATGCAGACATCTACAAAGGTGATGGAGAAAAACACACAATGTGAGCATGCTCTCTGGACCCAGACTGCCAGACAAACCACACGTACTAGCTCTGTAATCCCAAACAAAGTCATCTCTAGTGTTTCTGCTCCATTTTCTGTAAAGTGGGGACGTTGATACCTACCACATAGGAAGTGTGAGCATGATAGATCTAGATCGCTTTTAAGTGTTCTAACAGCTTCTGGAACATATCAGCCACTCAAGTGCTTGGCTAGTCATTGATCTGGCACAGTACTGGCCAATAGAAGGAACTAGAAGAATAAATAAAACACACAAGTAGTAGAACAAAGGAAATAATAAAGATCAGAGTAGAAATAAATCGACCAAAAAAAAAAACCAAACACAAAGGATCAACAAAACAAAGAATTGGTTTTTTGAAAAGATAAAATTGGCAAACCTTTAGCTAGACTAAGAAAAAAAGAGAAACTCAAAATTATAGAGGAAAAAGATTACAACTGGTATCACAGGAATTCAAAGGATAAACAGACTATTAAGAAAAACTTTCCATCCGGGCTCGGTGGCTCAGCCTGTAATCCCGTGCCTTTGGGAGGCTGAGGTGAGTGAATTGCCTGAGCCCACGTGCTTGAGACCCGCCTGGGCAGCGAGACCTCATCTCTACAATAAAAAAAAAAAAATCAGCCGGGCGTGGTAGCGCATGCCTGTAATTCCGGCTACTCGGAAGGCTGAGGTGGAAGGATCACCGGAGCCCAGCAGGTGAAGCTGCAGTGGCCGGGAGTGGCCACTGCACTCCAGTCTGGGCGACCGAGTGAGACTCCAACTCAAAAAAAAAAGAAAAACTTTCCACCAATTTATATAACATGGAAATGGATAAATTCCTGGACACAAACTACCACCTATCTAGATGAAATTATAAAGAAATAAAAAATCTGAACAGACCAGTAACAAGTAAGGAAATTGAATCAGTAATAGGAAGTATCTCATTAAAGAAAAGCCTAGGATCTGGGTTTAACCACTGAATTTTACCAAACATCTAATTAAAGAAGAACTTATACCAATTCTTCTTAAACTACTCAAAAAAACTGATGAGGAAGGAACACTTCCCAACTTATTCTAAAAAGCCACCATTACCCTGATACCAAAAACCAGACAGGGATACAACAAAAAAGAAAACTACAGCCAATATCCCTGATGAACAGAGGTGCAAAAGTCCTCAATAAAACACTAGCAAACTGAATTCAATGGCCTTTTTTTTTTTTTTTTGAGTTTATACTCTCACTCTGCTGCCCAGGCGAGAGTGCAGTGGCACGCGCACGGCCACCGCAGCCTCGACCTGGTGGGCTCAGGTGATCCTTCTGCCTCAGCCTTTCAAGTAGCTGGAAACACAGAGTCACGCTACCACACCCGGCTTATTTTTTGATTTACTGTAGAGACAATGTCTCACCAAGTTGCCCAGACTGGTCTCAAACACCTGAACTCAGTCAATCTTCTCACCTCAGCCTCCCACCATGCTGGAATTACAGGCTTGAGCCACCGTGCCTGGCTCAACAGCATATTAAAAAATATGTATATAATCTATATCTATCTATCTATCTATATATATATCTCCATCATGATCAAGTGAGATTCAGCCCAGGGATGAAAGGATGTTCAACATACATAAATTAATAAACATGATACATCACATCAACAGAATGGACAAAAATCATATGATCATTTCAATAAATGCAGAAAAAGCATTTGACAAAAATCTTAGCATCTCATCACGATAAAAATTGTCAGCCAGGCTCGGTGGCTCAGCCTGTAATCCCGCGCTTTGGGAGGCTGAGGTGAGTGGATTGCCTGAGCCTGAGGGTTCGAGACCCGCCTGGGCAACTTGGCAAGACCTCATCTCTACAATAAATCAAAAAATTAGCCGGGCGTGGTAGCGCGCCTGTAGTTCCAGCTACTCAGAAGGCTGAGGCAGAAAGATCGCTGGAGCCCAGCAGGTCAAGGCTGCGGTGGCCAGGAGCGGCCACTGCACTCCAGTCTGGGCAACAGAGTGAGACTCCAAAAAAAAAAATTGTCAACAAATTAGGTATAAAAGGAATATAGCTCAACACAATATAGAAAATATACAACAAACCTACAGCTAACATAATACTTAAGAAAAAGTGGAACGCTTTTTCTCTAAGATCTGAAACAAGGCAAAGATGCGTGCTTTTGCCACTTCTATTCAACATAGTGCTGGAAGTTCTAGCCAGAACAATTAGACAAGAGAAAGAAGTAACAGGAACCCAAGTTAGAAAGGAAGTACAACTTTCCCTATTTGAGATGGCATATTAGATGCACGCATACCTCGTTTTATCATGTTTCTCTTTATCACTCTCTGCAGATATCATAAATTTTACATGTTGGAAGTTTGAGACAACCCTGCATTGAGCAAATTTATTGGCACAATTTTTCCAACAGTATGTGACCACTTTGTTAGCATTTTGTTTTGCTTTGCTTTGTTGAGTCAGAGCCTCACTCTGTCACCCAGGCTGGAGTGCAGTGGCACGTTTATGGCCACCGCAGTCTTGACCTGCGGGGCTCAAGCGATCCTTCCACTTCAGCCTTCCAAGTAACTGGAACTGGAACTACAGGCATGTGCCACCACGCCTGGTTAATTTTTTTATTTATTGTAGAGATGAGGTCTTGCCATGTTGCCCAGACTGGTCTCGAACCCCTGAGCTCAGGAAATCCTCTTGCCTCTACCTCCCAAAGTGCTGGGATTACAGGTATGAGCATTTTTTAGAAATAAAGTATTTCTTAAGGTATGTACATTTTTAAGGACACAATGGTATTTTACACTTAATAGACTACAATACAGTGTAAACATAACTTTTATATGCACTGGGCAACCAAAAAATTTGTTTGACATGCATTATTGCAATATTCACTTTATTGCAGTGGTCTAGAACTGAACTGCAATGTCTCTGAGGTATGCCTGTATAGAAAACCCTACAGAGTCTACCAAAAAACTCTTAGAGCTAATAAATTTATTGGAGCTACAGGATACAAAGTTAACATACAAAGCTCAGTAGTATTTCTATACACTAATAGCAAGCTATTTGAAAAAATAAGATACTATTTACAATAGCTATTTAAAAATACTTGAGAATAAATATAACCAAAGAGGTGAAAGATCTCTATATTGAAAACTATGAAACACTGATGAAAGAAATTACAGAAGATAAATGAAAAGTGATCCCACATTCATGGATTAGAAGAATATCAAAATGACCATAATACCCAAAGTAACTTACAGATTCAATGCAATTCCCATCAAAATATCACTGAAATTCTTCACAGAAATAGAAAAAAATCATCCTATAATTTGTATGTAAGGACAAAAGACTCCAAACAGCCAAAAAAAAAAAAAAAATCTTGAGCAAAAAGAACAAAGGTAGATGTACACTACCTGATTTCAAAATACATTACAAAGTTACAGTAACCCAAACAGCATGATACTGGCATAATAACAGATGCACAGGCCAATGGACCAGAATCAAGAGCTCAGAAATAAATCCACACATTTACAGCTAACTGATTTTTGACAAAGGTGTCAAGAGCACAGTTTTGGGGAAAGGACAGTCTCTTCAATAAATGGTGCTGAGAAAACTAGATATCCACCTGCAAAAGAATAAGATTAGACTCTTATCTCTCAGCAAGCCAAAAACAACTCAAAATAAAGCCAGGTACAGTGGCTCATGTCTATAATCCCAGCATTTTGGAAGGCTGAGATGGGAGAATTGCTTGAGGTCAGGCGTTTAAGATCAGGCTGGGCAACAAAATGAGACTTTCATGTCTACAAAAAATTAAAAAATTAGGCAGTCATGGTGGTAAACATATGTAGTTCCAGCTATTTGAAAGGCTGAAGCAGGAAAATTGCTTGAGACCAGAAGTTTGAGGTTGCAGTGAGCCATGATTGTGCCACTGCACTCCAGCCTGAGTGGCAGAGTGAAATCCTGTTTCTTTTTTTGAGTCGGAGTCTCACTTTGTTGCCCAGGCTAGAGTGCAGTGGCACTCTCACAACCACCACAGGCTTGACCTGCTCGGCTCAGCCTTAGCCTTCCAAGAAGCTGAAACTACAGGCACATGCTACCATACCCAGCTAATTTTTTTGATTTATTGTAGAGATGAAGTCTTGCCATGTTGCCCAGGCTGATCTCAAATCCATGAGCTCAGGCAATCCTCTTGCCTCAGTCTCCCAAAGTGCTGGGATTACAGGCGTGAGCCATTGCACCTGGCTGTAAAACCCTGTTTCAAACAAACAAACAAACAAACAAACAAACAAAAAACCTCAGAATAGAATAAAGACAAACCTAAGATCTAAACTGTGAAACTACTAGAAGAAAACACAAGAGAAAAGCTCCACGACACTGGCCTGGGCAGTGATTTTTTTTGGATATAACTTTGAAAGCACAGGTAACAAAAGCAAAAACAGAAAAATGGTATTACATGGAACTAAAAGGTTTTTGCATAACAAAGGAAACAATCAACAGAGTGAAGAGAACCTGCAAGAGAACAGCTTTGGCAACCTACATCAGAATTTTCCAGTTATATCTCAGTTTCTAGCAAATTGAGTAAATGGGGAACCAGAAAATAGAATTAAGTTTTGTTTCCAACTGCTATGGCATATGGTTTTTACCTTCTAGTAAATCTTCATCGTGGTTTTCAGCTAGAGCTATGGTTTCCTGCAACGAAAAGATATCTCATGAGAATTTAATTTTACTTAAGTATTTACTGTCAAAACACAATTTCTTGGGGAAGAATTCTAGCTCTCAAAAATACTATCTAAAACATAAATATCTAAATAATCCCTTTAGGCTGGGTGTGGTGACTCACACTTGTAATTATAACATGTTGGAAGTTGAGGAAGGAGGATTGCTTAAGCCCAGAAGTTTGAGATTAGCCTGGGCAACATAGTGAGACCTTGTCTCTACAAAAACTCAAAAGATTAGCCGGGCATGGTGGTGCACACTTGTAGCCCCAGCTACTTGGCAGGCTGAGGCAGAAGGATCACCTGAGCCCAGGAGGTCGAGGCTATGGTGATCTGTGATTGTGCTACTATACTTCAGTTTTGGCAAAAGAGTGAGATATCAGCTCAAAAAATAATCAACATCCTTTCAAATAAAATTTATTTTGAATTTTGACTAAAATAATCTTTAAATGATATAATATCACAATTATGAAATGGGTGAACTGAGTCAACAGAAGCAAAGTCACAATGAAGAACAAACCCAACAAAGTCCTCTGACCTGACTAGCTTCTGGGAACTAATCAGCATCCCAGGGCCTGATCTAGGAACCAGAGATCCAGGGACCTTGGCAACCAGACTCCTTATTTCCTATACTAGATGCCTCTTGACCTGGAGTTCTGCCCTTTCCTCCAAAAGATAATCTGCAAAGTCTCCATAACATTTTTCTCACGGCCTTCTAATTATGTCCCTCACTCCATAGCTCAGGTAAGAACCAGGATATAGCCGGGCTCGGTGACTCAGCCTGTAATCCCGCACCTTAGGAGGCTGAGATGAGTGGATTACCTGAGTCCGCGGGTTCGAGACCCACCTGGGCAACTTGGCGAGACCTCATCTCTACAATAAATCAAAAAATTAGCCAGGTGTGGTAGCGCCCGCCTGTAGTTCCAGCTACTTGGAAGGCTGAGGCGGAAGGATCGCTGGAGCCCAGCAGGTCGAGGCTGCGGTGGCCGGGAGCTGCCACTGCACTCCAGTCTGGGCAACAGAGAGACTCCAACTCAAAAACACAAAACAAAAACAGGATATGAGACGCTCAAGAAAATGCAGGGGCTACAGGAAAGCAAGTCAACCAACCAGGTTCTTACATAATGAGAGAGGTAAATTCCAGAGGCACTCCCAAAATAAGTCTTGGTTGGCTAACTCAGATTCTATTGACTTTACTGGGACAGCATCTGTTTTTATGATTCCTCTATATATACCTGTTGGGGACCTGTTTTTTGTTTGTTTTTAGTAGGGGTATCTATCTGTCACCCAGGCTGGAGTGCAGTGGCACAATTACAGCTCACACAGTCTCAACCTCCTGGGCCCAGATAATCCTTCCATCTCAGTTTGCCAAAGGACTACAGGCACACACCATACCTGGCTAACTTTAAAAAAAAATTTTGTAGAGATGAGGTCTCGCTACATTGCCTAGGCTGGTCTTGGACGCCTGGGGTCAAGCAGTCCTCCAGCCTTGACTGGGATTACAGGCATGAGCCACTGCACCCAGCCTGGGAACCTATCTTAAGTACGTCCGGCTGTTTCAAGGAACCACCCTATCCAGGAAGGACTGAGTTAGCTCCTGGTAGCAATGAACTTAATTGCACCTCCCTTACTAGTAAGAATGAATGAGATTGAGAGCCCAAGACTCAGTGACTCTTTTTTCCCCTCCTGATCGGAAATTATGCCTCCTCTTCTCTCTGAAATATGTCATAGTATGGAAGACAAATTGTATCATTACCATAAATTTAATCACCATTTGTCTCTTATCTATTTAGAAATGGCTAAGACACTAAGAGTGGTAGTTCTCATAGGTAGTCCCAGCTACTTGGGAGGCTGAGGTGGGAGGATCGCTTAAACCCAGGAGTTCAAGGTTATAGTGAGCCATGATCACGCCATTGTACTCTAGGTGACAAAGTAAGACCCCCTTCTCAAAAAGGAAAAGGGAAAAGAAAGGGTTAAAGCAGTCAGAATTTGTGCTGGAAAAAGTCCTTTCCTATAATACACTGTGCAAGTAATCTCACATTTCCTCCTTTTTGATGTGTACTTTGTAGATGTTAAATGACCAGGGTAAAGGAAGCAGAAACAATCTGGAGATAGAGCATTCTCTCTGGTGTGAGGGCCATCTGGGTAGCATATGCAGCTGGTTGTTTTTAAAGAAAGGTACATCTAATTAGCCAGGAATGCCAGTAGTTCCATCTACTTGGAAGGCTGAAGTGGAAGGATCGCCTCAGCGCCCAGCAGGTTGAGGTTGCAGTGGCCGTGAGTGTGCCACTGCACTCCAGTCTGAGCAACAGAGTGAGACTCCAACTAAAAAAAAAAAAGAAAAAAAAAAAAAGGTGCATCTATAAAAGGCTTTCATCTGCTAGAGACAGTTAGGAAAAGTTGTACTGATGGTCCACAAAGACCTGAAAACCATCTAATAATTTTAAAGGCATCCACTTCCTCTAATCTTAAGCAAGTTACAGCCAGGGGATAGGGGGTAATACCTTAACTTGGGGCAATAAGGGCCAAGGACAGAGGCAAACACATTCGGGAGGCAGGGAATAAAATTATGATATCTTAGAGAGAACATGCTTTATTAGAGACGACCAAAATGAGGACGTTAAAAGAGAGACCCACTGTGGGATACCCAACAGGAAAGTAGGCAGATGGCATAGTGTGGTCATCATAGCCAAAAAGAACGTTTATAATTCTTGAATGAAAAAAATGCATGCTATAGTAATAATTTGACAAGACAGTGAGATAAAAATCTCAGAATGTGCCAACAAAAACAAACAGAGGAACAGAAGGAAAGTGTGGCAAGGGAGAAAAAAGGATTTCAACTTCTTAATTTTCTTATGAGTGAAGTAAGAGATTATTGCTTTCACTTCTAAAGTTGGTAATATACTCATAGCTATACTTCTGTGTTTAAAGATGTAAAGGTAACTGCCAGAAAACAGATCAACTCCCAAGAGTGCAAAACAGAAAGGGATGAAAGAAAAAAACAGGCTAAAACGTCAGGCAATGTAGCAAAATATTTTTTAAAAGTAGTGCAATATCAAGCTAAAAGAGAAAAGCCCAAGTTGGGCTTAAAGAGAAAAAGACAAAGACCCTAACAAGATATTTTATACAAGGCATACCTAAAACAGATTTTTAAAATTGAAAACGAAAGCTCGGGCAATTAATAAAGTATCAAGCAAATGTAAGTTTTATTTATTTATTTTTAAAATTTTTTTGAGTTGGAGTCTTACTCTGTCACCCAGACTGTAATGCAGGGGCAGACTCCCAGCCACCACGGCCTTGACCTGCTGGGTTCAGACGATCCTTCCGCCTCAGCCTTCCAAGTAGCTAGAACTACAGGCACATGCCACCATGCCCGGTTAATTTTTTGATTTATTGTAGTGATGAAGTCTCACCGAGTTGCCCAGCCTGGGCAAATGCAAGTTTTAAGAACCAAGAATCTAGGTATTAAATTCAACTTTGGTTTTCAGGCAAAGACCATCACATAAGACTGTTAGTTACCATGTATGTTAGGAGACAAATTGGGGGCAGTTCCCTAACATTTTGACTGCAAAGTGCTAATTTCCCTAATGTGTGAATGGATAGCTTACACAATCAACCAAAATGGGACATAATCCAACCCAGAAAAAAAAAAAAAAAAAGGACATCAAAAAGTCAGAGAACATAGATACCAATCAACATTTTAAAAAATGTTTTCCTGGCCAGGCTCAGCCTGTAATCCCAGCACTTTGAATTGCCTGCGCCCGAGGGTTCAAGACCAGCCCCGGCAACTTGGTGAGACCTTGTCTCTACAACAATAACAAAAATTAGCCAGGTGTGATAGTGCACACCTGTAGTTCCAGCTACTTGGAAGGCTGAGGTGAAAAGATCACTGGAGCCCATCAAGTTGATGCTGGGGTGGCCGTGAGTGTGCCACTGCACTCCAGCCTGGGCGATAGAGTGAGACTCCAACTCAAAAAACATAATAATAATAATTAAAAATTTTTAAAAGTTTTTCCTCAATAATAGAGAAATGCCTCCCTTGCCTACCAGAAGATTCTAGACAAGTGAGCACACTCATTACACTAATGAAAAGTGTAAACTCAAGCCGGACTCAGTGGCTCAGCCTGTAATCCCGCCCCCCTTTGGGAGGCTGAGGTGAGTGGATTGCCTGAGCCCGCGGGTTCGAGACCCACCTGGGCAACGAGACCTCATCTCTACAATAAATCAAAAAATCAGCCGGGTGTGGTAGCGCATGCCTGTAATTCCGGCTACTCAGAGGTGGAAGGATCGCTGGAGTCTATCAGGTTGAGGCTGCGGTGGCCAGGAGCGGCCACTGTACTCCAGTCTGGGCGACCGAGTGAGACTCCAACTCAAAAAAAAAAGAAAAGAAAAGAAAAGTGTAAACTCAAACAGGCTTTTGGGTAATTTGCTATTTACAATTTTCAATGTTATATCCTTTATTCCAGGCCTTTCACATCCAGGAACTTATTCTCAACAGAAAAAAAAAAAAAAGCAAAAAGCAAACAAATGCTTGAAGATAAATAAAATCAATGTTGTTAAAGTCCTGAAAATATTTGAAATGTCAGATAAGGTATGAACTAAAAAATCTCAGCATATCTAAATTGGCAATTTTTAAAGAAAGTTCTCCTTTTACAAACTATAAGCAGAAGCAAGGAGTAAGTCGATATATGTACTGAATTTATGAAGTTCATCTTGCCTAAAGCACCTCTCAAATTCCCAAACAGTAACAAAGCCCAACCATATTGATTTAGCAAGAGTAGAGGGGAAGGATTTAGAAGACACAGATTCATCCCAACAGTGCTATGAATGGAAGGACTGGGGAGGGAACTGGGGACGCTTTCCCATACTCCCATAGATCTTTGTGTGATTTTAGAAATGTCACTTTAGTAATGAAAGTATTAAAATATATTTAAGTGTGTTCGTGTCTGCTGCTACAATAAAACAAAACAAACCAAAAACTATCTCCTATTCTAGATTACGTTTTAAAGGGTAAAATATTTTGAATGATAATAATGTAAAATTTAGTAGCAAGAATTTAGGCAGCCAGGAACGGTGGCTCAAGCCTGTAATCCCAGCACTTTGGGAGGCCGAGGTGAGAAGATTGCCTGAGCTCAGGGGTTCGAAAACAGCCTGGGCAGCTTTGCAAGACCTTGTCTCTACAGTAAATAAAAAATTTAGCTGGGCATAGTGGCGCATGCCTGTAGTCCCAGCTACTTGGAAGACTGAGGCGGAAGGATCACCTGAGTCCAGCAAGTTGAGGTTGCGGTAGCCGTGAGCATGCCACTGCACTCCAGCCTGGGCGAGAGAGAGAGAGACCAACTCAAAAAAAAAAAAAAAAGAATGTAGGCAGACACTTCATCAGCCGTTTATTTTGTTTCTGGAAGATAATGAGGACTTAAATTGTCTGCAAGTCAAAATTTCTTAGGTTATGCATGTATCTAAACACATCAAATTATATAAATTAAATACGTGCAGAGCTTTTTTTAAATTTCAATTACATCTCAGTAAAGCTGTAAAAGGTTTTTTCCTTAGGTCATCAGCTTTACTGTCTAGTATTAAAACAGGGAACAAAAGCCATGTTGTGAGACTTTGGATGACAGAACACAGATGAGTAAAGAGAGGAAACTGATGTTTACATTGCTGGGCACAGGAATGACACAAGGTTCACTTCCGCGAGGGATACCTTAGGCGTAACCAAAGTTCCAGTTGGGTGTTCAGGGGTCTCATGCGCAGAAAAAGGGTCCTGTTCATTTCCACCTACCACACAGTAGTTGCTGTAGCAAGAAAGAGGATAAAAGCCGTGCTGTTGCTCATACCAGTTGCCACAGGGGTAACCCTGGCAGGCCTGGAACTCTGGCTTCACTCTAATAGCAAAGGGGAGACCACAGGAGTGAGAGCCGTCACCGAACAAGGCAGGATCATTCACAAACCCCCAAACCCTTTATTCTTTCCAGAAAGCTTCAAGTAAGAATGGTTTCTGCTTTAACTGTTTGAAAACATCTCAGTTTTCAAGCGATAGTTTGTAAGTTGTCAAAAATTATATATCAGAACAGTAACAGCTTTCATTTTCATTCAAAGAAAGAAAAAACCGCTCACCTTTGCCAGTAGCAGTAAAAGTTTTTTTGTTGACCCATATCAATACCTACAAAACTCTCCCATCGGGCCATTTATTCAGAAACTTTACAAAAAGAGACCAGAATCCAGTTTTTATTCCTGCATCTAAATACCAGCTGGTGAGCTAAGCCCGCTAAACCCTGATAAATACCTCTCGAAACTACTCCTGAGATAATTACATTTAGTGGCAATTCCTGCTAGGCGTTTAATTACTTGACTTTCCTGACAACGGAGCCAAGGTGTGGATGAGGGCAGAAGTACACTGGGGTCACCTGGGGAAACTTCCACAAACTTCCTCAGGCTTCCAGCAGCCAGCCCCCTCCCTCAACTGTCAGGTCTGGGGAAGCCAGCAGAAAAGAGGGGGGCATGGAACAGAAAGGGAGGGTGTGTTGGTCAACAACAAACGACAGTCTCCACTGCACCCCTCACCTTAAAAAGTGAGTTACTTTTTTTTCTTTTTGAGTTGGAGTCTCACTCTGTTGCCCAGGCTGGAGTGCAGTGACATGCTCATGCCCACCGCTGCCTCGACCTGTAGGGCTCAGGTGATCCTTCCACCTCAGCCTTCCAAGTTGCTGGAATTACAGGCATGTACCACCACGCCCGGTTAATTTTTTGATTTATTGCAGAGATAAGGTCTCGCCAAGTTGTCCAGATGGATTTCAAACTGGCAATCCTCTCACCTCGGCCTCCCAAAGTGCTGAGATTATAGGCATGAGCCACAACACCCAGCCTAGTGAGTCACCTTTAATAATTAAAATCTTAAGACAAATACCACAGCTTGATGTTTCCCTCCTCATTTATCAGCTAAGAATAACAAATTGGAAGTAATACCTGGTGACTTTTTAAAAAATTTCCCTGCAGGTTGAAGTCATTATACCAATTAGATGAAAATTAAGAGGTAGGGGAGAAATAGAGTCACTCACACACACCCACTCATACTACACATTAATGAGGAGCACAGGATACAAATTTAATGGAATATTTCTGTGGCTCAGTATATTTATAAAAAGCATGATGAAACAGTGCGTCCCAAATCTTAATGTGCATACAAATTACCTGGGCTTGTTTAAAATGAAGGTTCTAGTTCAGCAGATTTGGAGTGGAGCCTCTGATTCTGCATTTCTAGCCGGATCCCACCCCTTTAAGTAGCAAGGCTACACCAAGTGTCAACAGTTGAGAAATTAACTTTTGAGTCTAAATAGGGGCACTTAAGGCCTGGCCATGTCCCTGTAGCTTGTTAATAGCTAAATGCTTAATATGTTTTCTACTTATCTTTAATGTGAAAAACAGAAAACAAATGAATTCAGATCAAGCATTCATTTACCAACTATTTACTAAGCCCTACTACAGAGTCCCTGCTTATTGGTTCCAGAACCCCTGCAATACCCAAATCTGCCTACACTCAAGTCCCTGGTAGAAAACGATAAAGTATTTGCATATAAACTACACAACCTTCCTGTATACTTTATTTATTTATTTTGAGTTGAAGTCTCACTCTGCCTCCCAGGTTGGAGTGCAGTGGCACTCTCACGACCACCTCAGCCTCAACCTGCTGGCAATCTTTCTGCCTTAGTCTTCCAAGTAGTTGGAACCACAGATGCATGCCACCATGCCTGGCTAGTTTTTTGTGATTTATTGTAGAGACGAGATCTCACCAAGCTGCCCAGGCTGGTCTCGAACCCCTGGGCTCAGGCAATCCTCTCGTCTTAGCCTCCCAAAATGCTGGGATTACAGACTTGAGCCACTGCGCCCAGCCCATCTCTTGTATACTTTAAATCATCCCAGGCTGGGTTCGGTGGCTCAGCCTGCAATCCCAGCAGTTTGGGAGGCCAAATAGAGTGGATTGCCCCTCTCTGCCACAGAAGACTGAGGCCAGAAGTATCATCTGAGCCTGGTAGGTTGAGGCTGTGGTAGCTATGATTGTACTACAGCACTCAAGCCTGGGTGACAGAGTGAGACTCTGACAAATAAACCAAACAAGCTCCACTTCCCTGGAGACCTTTTATTTTTATTTTTTGGAGTCAGTCTCTGTTGTCCAGGCTGGAGTGCAGTGGCACGCTCACAGTCACTGCAGCCTCGTCCTGCTGGGCTCAGGTGATCCTTTCACCTCAGCCTTGCAAGTAGTTGGAACTACAGGTGTGCACTACTACGCCCAGCTAATTTTTTTCTTGATTTATTGTAGAGATGAGATCTCACCAAGTTTCCCAGGCTGGTCTCGAACCCATGGGCTCAGGCAATCCTCTCACCTCGGCCTCTGAAAGTGCTGGGTTTATAGGTGTGAGCCAAAATACCTGGCCACCCTGGAGACCTTTAAACCAAGCTACAAAGGATTTTTCCTCAAACTGCCCCTAGGCTTTCTTATTCTAATCTACTGGCACACAGGATTCCCTGATAAACCAATGATCTTAGGGCCAGTGTGATTCCCCTTTTCAGCACAAAGCAGCAAGAGAAGATAAAACTCCAAACCCTATGCCAAAGATTTGGCATTGTTGTTTGTCAGGGGGGAATGTGAATAAATATGAGGCCCCCTTAGGCCAGCAAAAATTGAGTAAACATTTTAAGGAAAAGCCCTCAGAGTAAAATCTTCAAATATTGCAAAAGGCAGAAAACCTGTTGATCTGGTTGCAAAACCAGCTAACCATTGTTTTCTTGTTAAACATCTCAACAACAAAGTTATTTTGAACAATATCAACATGCTCCCCTTAGCATAGCAACCCCAGCACGACCCCCAGAAAACATTGATCTCCAGCCCCTACCTCTTTACAGACAGCTACCTTTGCTGTTCTGCCTGTCATGTTTTTTTTGATGCCTTCTCCCTTTAATAAATTTGACTTTCTTAATTCATAACTGTCTTGGTGAACACTTTCACTGCCTGCATCTCCAACCCCACCCAGTCATATGCACAACACTAATTTCTACAAAAAGTTTAAAAAAAAAATAGTTGGGCATAATGGTGCACCTGTAGTCCCAGCTACTTAGGAGACTGAGACAGAAAGATCTCTTGAGCCCAGGAGGTAGTGGCTGTGGTAAGCCATGATCATGCCACTGCACTCCATCCTGGGTGAAAGAGTGAGATCCAAACTCAAAAAATAAAATCTCCCTTGAAGGCTAGAGTAAAAGTTCTACCATATCACCAATGCTAATCGCCCTGCCTTGTGTATAGAGTCAGCCCTCTGGGTTCTGCATCCTGCATCTGTGCCTTCAGCCACCATGAATGGAAATATTTGGGGGAAACCCACAGTTTCAAAAAACAAAACTTGAATTTGCTGCACATTGAGTACTACATTGAAAGTACGGGAAAGTATGGGAATGTATAGTATTAGGTATTAGTCAATCTGGGGATGATTTATTTTTGAGTTGGAATCTTACTCCGTCACCCAGGCTGGAGTGAAGTGGCACACTCATGGCCACCCCAGTATCAACCTGCTGGGCTCAGGCGATCCTTCCACCTCTGCCTTCCAAGTAGCCAGAACTACCATGCCCGACTAATTTTTTTTATCGTAAAGACAAGAGCTTGCCAAGTTGCCCTTGGCAACTTACCACAGCCATTACCTCCTGGGCTCAAAATTATTCCTTTTAAAAAAATCAACCTGCAAGCTCCAAACCTGCTAGACATAGGACATGAGAAAACTAAATAGCCACCAGCGGCTTTCCTGGAAATACAAGATAATAATCGATTCACAACCTTATCCTGGCATCCTCTCTTTGCAAAGTTATCGGTTTACAACCCCTGCTTGTCATGTATACCCTGGAGACAACTTGTTCTTTGAGAATCTGGTTTTGCTGGATACCACCTTGCAAATTCCAAAGAAAAGTGTATAGCTATACAACCCAATCCCCTTCCCTTACCTAAACTAACACATAAAGCCCCTCTCCTCTTTCTCTGGGTGGATCAGCCTTGGAGCATTAGCCCGCTGAGTCACGCTGGTGTTAATAAACTGTTACTTCCTAAGATAGCCTCAGTGTCATGGTCTCTCTGTTTTCCTGCAACATTCCAAGTAGTTGGAACTACAGGCACGTCACCTCTCCCAGCTAATTTTTTGAGTTATTGTTTCTTATTTATTTATTTATTTTTGAGTTGGAGTCTCACTCTGTCGCCCAGACTGGAGTGCAGTGACCACTCCCAACCACCACAGCCTCGACCTGCTGGGCTGCGGCGATCCTTCTACTTCAGCCTTCCCAGTAGCCGGAATTACTGGCGCGTGCTACCACGCCCGGCTAATTTTTTTATTTTATTGTAGAGATGAAGTCTCGCCTGCCCAGGTGGGTCTCGAACCCGTGGGCTCAGGCAATCCACTCACCTCAGCCTCCCAAAGGCGCGGGATTACACGCTGAGTCACTGAGCCCGGCTTTTTTTAGTTATTGTACAGATGAGATTTCACCATGTTGCCTAGACTGTTCTCCAACCACTGGGCTCAGGCAATCCTCTTGCTTCTGTCTCTCAAAGTGATTGGATTACAGGTGTAAGCCCTGTCAAGGATTTGGCAGTAAAGGCCTGTATGAATTGGGTGAAGTCCTCTCTGAGATTCCAAATAACTTGGGGTTCTGGGGTCCATTAATAAGCAAAATTCTCTTCACTTACCATTGATGAGATACCCTGCAGAGTGAAAAAGGTATTAGGCCAATCTTTCCAAGGGTTTTTTTACAGAATTTTTTTAATCTTAATTCCTTAAAGCAGTTTGCTCTGAAACATCATTTCAGCCAAGCCTTGGTAAAATAACCAGTATTTCCAATCACCTTGTTATAAAACAGATACTTACTGATTTTATGCAAATAACCATACTGTTATAAATTAATACTTACAAATAGTTTCTAAATTCTAGAGAAAACTAGGTAGAGGGAAAGACATATGATTTAAATTTTGCTTACAAGAGCATATTTTACTTATTTGTTAAGGGCTGTAAATAGCTTCAAGAAAAGGTTGTTTTAATGAGAGTCCTGGAAGTTGTTTTTTTCTAGTTTAATGGCACAGTTTTTAAAGTTGTTAGAAGCTAGCACTGAAGAGCACTTGCCAGAGTTCTATAGATGATTATAAACGGCTCTTTGAAAAAGA